GGCAAGGGGAGGGTTTTCCAGTTGTCTCCACAATTGATAGGGCTTTCGGTTATGACAGGTAGAGGAAAAAGTACGCTGCGCTAGGAGGAGACTCTTATTGTGGGGGAACTGAACTTCCAGTCAGCTCCAGAATTGAACGGGGGGCTTCCAGTTAGGACTTTTGTGGCTCCCGCTGTTTTCTTTCCTGTGGGAAACGGGTCCAAATGGCTCTTTGAGTGTTTAAGTTTGCCGACCCCTGCATTAACACATACTCGGGTGGCGAAGAAGCGTGGCAGCGGCTAATTTCCCCTTCCGCACCATTTTTTTTTTCTTTGTATGCGCCAAATTTTGAGTCATGACCAAATCTAGCTCTCACCAGTTATGGAACGAATTATGGCTGTGACCTGAGGTTCTACTGTGTGGAGAGAAGTATTCAACCTGTCACAGTAATGTTAACACGCTTTGAGGAACATTCAAAACTTCCTCTCTTCCCAGGAATGCAAGTGGCCTTTCACAATTTGATTTATTAAACTCATAACCCACCGCGATCAAAAGGCTCCCGTTAGGTCTTACCTTGTTATCCAGACTTTCTAGGACTTCCAAGTACGGTTCGTTGAGGCACCGATCATAATCCAAACTCTGGAGGGGAAAAACAAAATGCCAATACTTTCAGAAAGGCTACCCAACCGGAAGAGACAAGCAGGCGATAGCCAACATTACGCCACAGCCATGTAACATGCAATCCACACATCACACTACAGGTAGTCCCCGACTTACAAGAGTTTATTTAGTGACCGTTTAAAGTTACAGCAGCACTGAAAAATGTGACTTACGGCTGTTTTTCACACTTACGACCAGGGCGGCAGCATTCCCACATTCAAGTGATCAAAAGTTCAGATGCTTGGCAACTGACTCATATTTGACAGCTGCACCCTCCCGACGTCACATGAGCCCCTTTTGCAATCTTCTGACAAGCAAACTCAACAGGGAAAACCAGATTCACTTAACAACTGCAAGCAGTTCACTTAACAACTGGGGCAAGAAAGGCGGTAATAAAGCAGAGCAAAACTCACAACAAATGTTTTGCTTAGCAACCAAAATTCAGGGCTCAATTGAGGTCGTGAACATAATTCATCAACCCTAATTTTGAGTGCTGCAAGAAGCTGGCTGGCTAAGTAAATGAAGCCACCTGCTCTGGAGTAACTGAAATGCCACCCTAAAATCACTTTAAAAGTAAAGGTTCCCCTTGCGCATAAGTGCTAGTCGTTCCCGACTCTAGGGGGCGGTGCTCATCTCCGTTTCAAAGCCGAAGAGCCAGCGCTGTCCGAAGATGTCTCCGTGGTCATGTGGC